GTTTGGTTATAGATACTTGGATGATAAGTGCGAAAAATTTTGAAGGATACTGAGGTGTCGAAAGTATCCTGCAACAGATTTTCCTTAAATGGATTGCACCAATTATTTGTTGACAGTGCCCCATTGATGTTTTTCGACAGTTCGATCTCTCACCAAAAAATTATTGATCATAAATACCTGAAATCTTTGTTGGACATGTTCTGAAGAATTTATCTTTTATAATCTGCTCTTGGTACCTATTTATACTTGTTAGGTGCAAAAGTGAATAGCCTTCACTTATTTTCACGCAAAGTATTTTCTTTAAAGTCATTGCCTGATTGAATCGGTTCGTTTATGGACTTCTAAAGTTTATTGTATATATAGTAAATTTGATCTAAATATTTCTAAACTAAATTTTCTTCAAATATTCAAAATGCGTGAATTACTTTTTTTAATTTTCCGCATTTATTCCAATAAGACACTCGATCAGCTCTTCCTTTCGACTAGTACTGTGGTTCAACATATTTTTCATTCCCAACTCATTATTATCAGCTTGTCTGGTTTACCCTTGTTTGCCACTCATTTTATCTTATTTTAAACCATCCCACTTATCTTGAGCTTCATATTCTTTGAATACTCAACTCTTCTGTCGCTATTATGGGCTTTAATGATTACCCTACCTATTCATTTTTTTGTTGTTTTGCGCCTACATATTTTGTCCTCAAGCAGCCTTATTGTCGTGTTTGCTTTAATGGTTTGTTTAACCTTCCAGTTTCTTCTGTGTTTTTTTTATCCCGATTACAAAATTACATACAGTCTTCATGGGCTTTCTAAAGATATGTATTTTTTTATACACCAAGTCAAGACATGCATTTATCTACTTCATCATACTTTATTATTAAGGTTTTACTCTTCTATTAAAGGCGAATCCGATCAGTCATTTAATTGATTTTAAAGAAAATCGCTTAAAGTGACGAAGCACTCGTAATCAATTTATCCAGATAGATCTCACTATGCCACTGAATTTTATTTAGCCTTGCTTTCCAAAAAGATGCTCTTATCCATGGTGGTCTACAGGTCTGACTTTGCTTGGCTCTCTTAAGTACTTCAATTTTCAACTTTGCTACACTACTGCCACAGGGCAGAATGAGAATTTCTTCGGCAAGCAAGACTACGAGA